GCTGACCACGTGACCCGAGTTCGGTAACCCTTGACCTCTGGCGCCCGCACCCCTCCACTTCTGGGTCCGGATGCGTGCAGCTGGGTGGGAGGATGCGCCGCACGGAGGCCGGTAGCGGCCAGTTCCCACGCCTCCCCACCTGTCTGGCTAGTGGCTGCGGAGGCCGAGGGGAGGCCGAGGAGCGGGAGATGTTGGTGCCAGACCGGACTTTGTGGGTGTGAATGTGGGCGCGTCATAGGGACCCTCCCTCCGCGCCTTCCCGGGGCTGGACTTCATGCTCCCATTTTACAGATGGGGGAGCAGAAACTTAACAACCATCTATTGGCGGGTCTGCAACGCCAGGTCTTCGCGCTGGAAACCCAGGCCTTGTTCCCCCCACAGCCCGCCACTCCTGAGGATTAGGGACAAGGGTTTGAGTCCCTGCTCCCTACCTGGTGCTCGGTGGATGGATGAGCTTGGAGAAGCCATGTGACATGTACCTCTCTGAGCTGACTTCCTGGGCTGTGAAATAGACACAGTACTTACCTAACACCCATCTTGTTGTTAACGAGGTGGAGGTATAAGCCTAGAAGCACTTAGCTCAGTGCCTCAGGCCTAGCATGTGCTTAGAAAAATAGCCGCTCTTCATCTTTTTCAGCAAGTGTTTATCGAGGGCGTATTATGTGCTGACACTGCTGGACGCTGGGGATGCAAAGGTGAGCAAACAGGCATGATCCTTGCCGGCATGGAGCCTACAGTCTAGTGCAGCGGTTCTCAACCTGTGGGTCGCGACGCCTTTGGGGATCGAACGACCCTTTCACAGGGGTCGCCTAAGACCATCGGAAAACACATATAATTACATATTGTTTTTTTAAAAATACATTTTATTGATTTTAGAGAGGAAAGGAGAGGGAGAAAGAGATAGAAACATCAATGATAAGAGAGAATCATTGAGTGACTGCCTTCTGCACGCCCCCTCCTGGGGATCAAGCCCGCAACCCAGGCATGTGCCCTTGGCCGGAATGGAACCTGGGACCCTTCAGTCCGCAGGCCGACGCTCTATCCATTGAGCCAAACCAGCCAGGGCTACATATTGTTTTTGTGATTAATCACTATGCTTTAATTATGTTCAATTTGTAACAATGAAAATACATCCTGCATATCAGATATTTACATTACGATTCATAACAGTAGCAACATGACAGTTATGAAGTAGCAACGAAAATAATTTTATGGTTGGGGGTCACCACAACATGAGGAACTGTATTAAAGGGTCGCGGCATTAGGAAGGTTGAGAACCACTGGGCTAGGGCATGGTCCCTGGCTTTCTATACGTCATCTCATTCTGTTCTCATAGCAGCCCGGTGAGTTGCGGAGGGTGGGGATTATTACCTTGATTTACAATTTAGAACACCAGTTGCTCAGGCTGATGAAGGTCTCGATCACATTCACACAGGAAGTGGTAGGGCTGGGCCTGGCGCCAGTCCCCTGGATCCCAAGGCCAGGCACGTTCTCAGTGTTCTCAGAGGGCACTGCCGTCTGCCCTGTTCAAGTCTGTTGCTCTGAGACTCAGAGTTCCTCCCCTGGACGCTGGCTCAGAGCCTTTGTGGCTCCTCGGGTGGGGAATCTGGAGCCGGAGCTGCAAGACCCAGTGGAGGGGCCTGGAGGCAGGCTCCCGGGCGCTCAGGGGGATGGGGGGCTTTGCCAACCTCCCCTCCCCTCTCCTAGCTCCACTGGGGCCATGTCAGAGCGGGAAGAGCGGCGGTTTGTGGAGATCCCTCGGGAGTCGGTGCGCCTCATGGCAGAGAGCATGGGCCTGGAGCTGAGCGACGAGGTGGCGGCCCTGCTCGCAGAGGACGTGTGCTACCGGCTCAGAGAGGCCACCCAGGTGCGCACCCCACTCCCCACCCCCAGCTCTCCTTTCTACCAAAAAAAACCCCCCACACACAGGGGTTTACTCACCAAACATATCGGGCGCCTGCCCTGTGCTTGGAGGGAGTCCTGCCCCTCCCAGGGCTCCCCTTCTAACCACCTGGGCTTCCGGCAGACAGAGCAGGTCCTGGGCATCTGCTCCTGTGCTCCTCGCAGCAGCCCGGCAGGTTCCTGTGTGAGAAGCCAAGGCCCAGAGGGACCGCGACTTTGGGTGTTGTCTGCCTAAGAGCAGAGCTGGAATCCAGGCTTTCTGATGGCTGGCCTGGCATTCTTTCCGCCTCTTCCCCTGGCTGCCTCTGTGCCCCTGCTCCCCATCCCCTGACTCTGCCCCTCCCCTCCCAGAACAGCTCTCAGTTCATGAAACACACCAAACGGCGGAAGCTGACCGTGGAGGACTTCAACAGGGCCCTCAGGTGGAGCAGCGTGGAGGTGAGTGGGCAGGTGCAGGGGCTCAGCCGGCAGGAGCCCGCCTCCCGGCCAAGCTAGGGGCTGGTAGCACATTGAGGCATGAAGCCCGAATACACACACACCGGGAAGCTCACAGTTGCGGGGCAGGGGCTGGGCGCAGGCCCCTCCGTCTCTGAGTTCAGAAAAGGAGAGCGGGTACGGGGCCAGGGGTAGGGAGGCTTCTCGGAAGAGGGGACTTGAGCTGGGCCTTCAAAGGAGGCTGGAGTAGACTGGGCTGGGAGGAGGAGAGGCATTGTGGGGGCGGGAGGAGCCTGGGCAGCGTGGGTGCGTATGTCCCGATCGTTGTTCTGGGCCAGGGCGTCAGGGGAGGGAGGTCTTGTTTAGGAGATAGTAGTGTTTTCACAGTTGGGTGAGCGTGAGGAGGAGGGAGGACAG